ATGTTCTCTAGACCTTTAATAATTCTTGTTGCTCTTCTCTGGACCCTCTCCAATTTCTCCACATCTTTTTTGAAATGCAGTGCCCAGAACTGGACACAATACTCCAGCTGAGGCCTAACCAGCGCAGAGTAGAGCGGAAGAATGACTTCTCGTGTCTTGCTCACAACACACCTGTTAATGCATCCCAGAATTACGTTTGCTTTTTTTGCAACAGCATCACACTGTTGACTCATATTTAGCTTGTGGTCCACTACAACCCCTAGATCCCTTTCTGCCATACTCCTTCCTAGACAGTCTCTTCCCATTCTGTATGTGTGAAACTGATTGTTCCTTCCTAAGTGGAGCACTTTGCATTTGTCTTTATTAAACTTCATCCTGTTTACCTCAGACCATTTCTCCAATTTGTCCAGATCATTTTGAATTTTGACCGTATCCTCCAAAGCAGTTGCAATCCCTCCCAGTTTAGTATCATCTGCAAACTTAATAAGCGTACTTTCTATGCCAATATCTAAGTCGTTGATGAAGATATTGAACAGAGCCGGTCCCAAAACAGACCCCTGCAGAACCCCACTCGTTATACCTTTCCAGCAGGATCGGGAACCATTAATAACTACTCTCTGAGTACGGTTATCCAGCCAGTTATGCACCCACCTTATAGTAGCCCCATCTAAATTGTATTTGCCTAGTTTATCGATAAGAATATCATGCGAGACCGTATCAAATGCCTTACTAAAGTCTAGGTATACCACATCCACCACTTCTCCCTTGTCCACAAGACTCGTTATCCTATCAAAGAAAGCTGTCAGATTAGTTTGACATGATTTGTTCTTTATAAATCCATGCTGGCTATTCCCTATCACCTTCCCACCTTCCAAGTGTTTGCAGATGATTTCCTTAATTACTTGCTCCATTATCTTCCCTGGCACGGAAGTTAAACTAACTGGTCTGTAGTTTCCCAGGTTGTTTTTATTACCCTTTTTATAGCTGGGCACTATATTTGCCCTTTTCCAGTCTTCTGGAATCTCTCCCGTCTCCCATGATTTTCCAAAGATAATAGCTAGAGGCTCAGATACCTCCTCTGTTAGCTCCTTGAGTATTCTAGGATGCATTTCATCAGGCCCTGGTGACTTGCAGGCATCTAACTTTTCTAAGAGATGTTTAACTTGTTCTTTTTTTATTTTCTCTTCTAAATCTACCCCCTTCCCATTAGCATTCACTATGTTAGGCATTCCTTCAGACTTCCCGGTGAAGACCAAAACAAAGAAGTCATTAAGCATCTCTGCCATTTCCAAGTTTCCTGTTACTGTTTCTCCCTCCTCACTGAGCAGTGGGCCTGCCCTGTCTTTGGTCTTCCTCTTGCTTTTAATGTATTGATAAAAAGTCTTCTTGTTTCCCTTTATTCCCGTAGCTAGTTTGAGCTCATTTTGTGCCTCTGCCATTCTAATCTTGCCCCTGCATTCCTGTGCTGTTTGCCTATATTCATCCTTTGTAATTTGTCCTAATTTCCATTTTTATATGACTCCTTTTTATTTTTTAGATCATGCAAGATCTCGTGGTTAAGCCAAGGTGGTCTTTTGCCACATTTTCTATTTTTCCTACCCAGCGGAATAGCTTGCTTTTGGGCCCTTAATAGTGTCCCTTTGAAAAACTGCCAACTCTCCTCAGTTGTTTTTCCCCTCAGTCTTGATTCCCATGGGACCTTACCTATCAGCTCTCTGAGCTTACCAAAATCCGCCTTCCTGAAATCCATTGTCTCTATTTTGCTGTACTCCCTTCTACCCTTCCTTAGAATTGTGAACTCTATGATTTCATGATCACTTTCACCCAAGCTACCTTCCACTTGCAAATTCTCAACGAGTTCCTCCCTATTTGTTAAAATCAAATCTAGAACAGCTTCCCCCCTAGTAGCTTTTTCAACCTTCTGAAATAAAAAGTTGTCTGCAATGCAGTCCAAGAACTTATTGGATAGTCTGTGCCCTGCTGTGTTATTTTCCCAACATATATATGGATAGTTGAAGTCCCCCATCACCACCAGATCTTGGGCTTTGGATGATTTTGTTAGTTGTTTAAAAAAAGCCTCCTCCACCTCCTCCACCTGGCTAGGTGGCCTGTAGTAGACCCCTAGCATGACATCACCCTTGCTTTTTACCCCTTTTAGCCTAACCCAGAGACTTTGAACACTTCCGTCTCCTATGTCCATCTCCACCTCAGTCCAAGTGTGTACATTTTTAATATACAAGGGAACACCTCCTCCCTTTTTCCCCTGTCTATCCTTCCTAAGCAAGCTGTACCCATCCACACCAACATTCCAATCATATATATTATCCCACCAAGTTTTGGTGATGCCAACAATGTCATAGTTGTACTTATTTATTAGCACTTCCAGTTCTTCCTGCTTATTACCCATACTTCTCGCATTTGTATATAGGCATCTAAGATCCTGATTTGATCTTGCCTTGATCCAGTTTTGCCCTGACCCTCCTTTCTCTCTGCCATTATAGCCCACGCTCCCTCCTATTTCTGACCCATCTCCCAGGTCTCCATGTTCTCCACTTACCTGTGGGCTTTGCTCACCTATGCCCGTCGAACCTAGTTTAAAGCCCTCCTCACTAGGTTAGCCAGTCTGTGTTCACAATTGGCTTATTGTTTTATCAAGACCATAGCCAGTTGGCGTAAGGTAGAGCAATCCCTAAGCTGTTAATGTATGCTGAAGGGGCAGAGCTGGTGCAGATGCACCATAAGAACCAAGAAGGTGTAATTTGCTGTTTGACAGTCCACTTCCCCAGCACTGAGCAGATTCAGTGGACAGGAGAATCTGGGCAGCAATCCGTAAAGATACACAGTCAAAGCTGATAGTCCTAAAAATTGACTTGACCATTCTCCTTGTGTTATATTGAAGGACTTGACCCTAGGAATACAGTTACATATGTTTTCCCCATATGTTTTCCCCATCTAATAGTTCATATCATATGAGAAATGAAACCAAAGCAGACATGACTTACAGTGATTCTCATTAGACAGAGTTTGCATATGATTTCTTATAAATAGTGCATGTTGTTTTACTCTTCTTGTCGCATTAGAAAGTTGCACACTTGCTCTTTTTTTCTCCTGTTTTTATAAGGCTGTAATTCTTAAGGTTATATAAAGTCTTCAGTGTAAAACCATTGTCCAGGTAGTCCAATATTTAGGTTTTGAATATATCTTTTAAAATACATTGGAACTGACAGGATTGTCCTGTTTTAATTTGATATGTAAACCAGGCTGATTGCACATACTTTTGTCTCACTCAGTAAGGACCTTTGTGTATGTATGACACACTGGTCTGCCTTCAGGGGTGGGGTAGAGTTCTTCTGTCGACCTTGAGGTGTGTACATTGCGGCTTAGGTCGTCTTAATTAACTTTTCACATCCTTGAGTAATGTAGCTAGGTTGACCTAAGTTTTAGGTGTAGACCAGGCCTCTCAGGGATTGTGCCTCAGGAGGCATAGTGCCTCCCTGATTTCCTTGGCTGACTATGGTAGCTCTGACAGCGCCATAGAGTGCCAGCCAGTGTTAGATGGTGGGACTATTGCCTTGCTTCCTTCCCATCCCCCTTTGGGTGATTTGCACTGCAAAGGTTGCTAGTATCTTCAACCCCCTTTACTCCAAGTGCAGTGTCTGCTTTTGTGTCTGGCCCTTGTGGAGGAGTTGCAAGGATGGAGAGAGGAGCTTCCTTGCACTTTTGCCCTCCACTCCCTGAACCTATACTGGGGATATACCCAATCTGGCCCTTTTAAAACTCCAGGGGGAAAAAATCCCTGAGTTTCATTGTACACCTCTACCCCGATATAACGCTGTCCTCGGGAGCCAAAAAATCTTACTGCATTATAGGTGAAACCGCGTTATATCGAACTTGCTTTGATCCACCGGAACGCGCAGCCCCGCCCCCCCAGAGCGCTGCTTTACCGCGTTATATCAGAATTTGTGTTGTATCGGGTTGCGTTATATCGGGGTAGAGGTGTATTTAATTTACAAGTGTCCAACAACATTTAATTCAAAGATTCTTAGAGAGCATATTTATTTGTGTATTTTTCTACAATATTTTTTATCTATTGTATATCATAAGAATTCATGAAGTCTTGGTGTACGGCTCTGTAACAGGGTCCACGTCCCCCCCCTCTTCCTAGGGCCCGCTTGCTGCCCCCAATCAGGCTCAGAGAGACTTCAGGGTTGTGCAACACCCATGTCTTTATTTACTTAACTTCATCCTACCACCAGTGTCCATCTATGTACAAGTTTTACAGGATTACTCTCCTCCTTTCCAGGCAGAGCCAGCCTTCTGCTAGGAGACCTCCAGTTCCCTCCCTGGCTGCCCCCCTGGCTTCTGGCTCCCTCCCAGCCTTTATAGCCCTTGGCTTGTCAGGCCAGCAGGTGTTGCCAATCCTCAGGCCAGCATCAGGCCTTTTCCATCAGCCCCAATCTGCTTCCCCTGATTGGAGCTGACTGGGCAGGGGCTAATTAGGTGCTTTAAAAAAAGGAGAGCATATTTTCATATATTTATACTTTCCAAGGCCAGAAGGGACTATTGTGATCATCTAATCTGATTTCTGTTTAACACAGGCCATAGAACTTCCCCAAAATAATTCATAGAACATGTCTTTTAGAAAAACTTCTAATCTTGATGAAAAAATTGCCAGTGATGGAGAATCTGCCACAACCCTTGGTAAATTGTTTCAATGATTAATTACCCTCACTGTTAAAAAAATTATGCTTTATTTCCAGTCTGAGTTTGTCTAGCTTCAACTTTCAGCCATTGGATCATATTATACCTTTCTCTAATAAACTTGAAGAGCCCATTATCAAATATTTGTTCCCCTTGTAGGCTCTTACAGATTGTAATGAGATCACCCCTTAATCGTCTTTGATTAAGCTAAATAAATTGAGCTCCTTGAGTCTATTGCTATAAGGCATGTTTTCTAATTTTTTAATCATTCTTGTGCTTCTTCTCTGAACCCTCTCCAGTTTATCAACATCCGTCTTGAATTGTGGACACCAGAACTAGACACACTATTCCAGCAGTGTTCTCATCAGTGCCAAATACAGAGGTAAAATAAACTCTCTTTTAATGTTACAGAATACAGAAACCCAACAATACAAGCTTAGGTTTGTCTTGCTGTAAATATATTTAATATTATGCAACAAATAATTCATCATTTCAGACTTACTGATTTCTTACTATTTAGTGCCTTTCCGCTGACTAGGATAAACTTGTTTTGGCTCACTGAACACTCCTGTGCACTTCAGCATAGTAAACACAAGTAATGTACAATAATACAAACAGCATAGAATTAGATGCAAATAAGTGCAGTACATTTTCTCTGCTCAGAATAAGATAGTTACAAATATGCTATTTCTCAAATTATTTTGTTTTAAGTCAAACATTGTGATGTTGATCAGCAAATACCTACTGAACTGCAAGTAATTCATTACATTTAGATTAAAAATTGCTCAGTTAGTGATATGACCTTGTGAGGCTTACTTTTCCATAGTACAGCTATGGAAGCATCACGACAGAACAATTACCCCTTCACTTTCATTTTGTGGAATACCCAATGTATTCATTCACTGCCTTATTATTGAGAATAAATGTAGATAATTAAAAACTTGCAATTTAGAAGAGAAATTATTCTAACACACTCAAGGGATAATAACTAGTTTAACTTACTTTTTCTTAAGCTCTATGTTTATTCCTCCCTCAGGCATCCAGGACAGGCTCTTCCTCCTTTTTTTTTTTTTGCCTCAGGAGAAAACATCTATACAACCACCAAAATATATATACCAAGATCAACATTTAGTTGAAGGATTAAAATGCAATTTAGTATACTCAAATACTAGTGGCACACATGCATGCTGAGTTTGTGCTTAAAACTCAAAGACTTTATATACTCAAAAATATCCACTCGTGCAATATCTCATTTATTTAAATTAATTTTTTTTATTTATTTTTTAAATATTTAATTTAATTTCACTTTTAAAAATAAAATATGTCAGCAGTCTGCTAGTCCTAATTTGCGATGATCAGGCTCAAAAACCTTTTAGAAAATGTGACTTTGAGTTTTGTGAAACATAAGTGTCTTAGAAACAAATTTTAGGGTTTTTTTTACTACAGTTTTAGCACTCCAAAACAGCCACATAGATTTTCTTAATTTTTTTCCACAGAAAATTAAATTCTAGGCTAATGTCTTGTTCAAATTTCAGCCTAAGGGAAATATTCACAACAAAGTTAAAAGAATATTTTAAAAGTAGTGGGGAAGGGAGTATTGAGGTGTGGGAGGTTGTATTGTAGAAAGAATAAAACCGTCTTAATTATAATGGCACAAACACAACCACTAAAATCATGAAACCTCTGTTCTGAAACAGCATTTAGTGTGATATTAGGTTTTGGAATATAGCTCTCATTCCTGTACTCAAGAATTACTGTCTGTAGTTTATTTGTTAGCATTTTCCTTGCAGTGATTGTTAGGTGCCCTGGCATATTTGCCACTGTCTCTATTTTCTATTTATTTTCTGTGTTTCACCTCTGTTTTTTTCTAAAAAAATTTCATCATCTTGTTTTTCTGCTTTCCCCTTTTCTCTGAGCTTTAGCTACCCTCTTCCTTGAAGCCTCTCTTTAGCATACTTGATTACTTGGAGGGTTACATGTCTGCCTCTCCTCCCAGGTTGAGAGGCATAATTTCTGATTTGCAAGGTGGAAGATCTTTTTCTTTGATGTTGATATCAGTATTTTCTGTGAGAACTACTCTTTTGAAGAGATAGAGCAGACTGTGATACTCTAATGAATTTTATGTCCATTGAATCACTAAGAGACTGGGGGACATGGATCAGCATTCACATTACACTCCTGGTCAGTACCCCGTGCAAGCCGGGGAAGCTAATGATCCAGCCAGCCCACCAAATTTGGTGATGAATCCTGGTCACATGCCACCAGAGGCACATTGCGCATATGCTAAGAAGATTAAGAGACTTCATTCTTCTGCACAGAAGTATAATGCATTGCTTGCCTAACCAGCTTGTAATTCAGAAGCTTTTATAGAATTATAAAACCTAATGTGAAGAGAATACAAAATCCATGAAAAATGTCATAGTGCTTTAGATGTAACAAAATATGTGATATAGCATTAGTCTTCATTCTGGAAATGATAGTAAAAGAACTTTTTGATCAGATTTTCTGAAGTGGATATTTTATATCTTGTTACCCAACCCCAACGTTCTTTAGACAATTTGAATTATTTGGTGGTGAGCTATCACAGTGACAGGTATCTTAAAAATCTAAAAAAGAATTTGCACAAGTAAAGTACAGAACTTTTCTGTTATACATACACATTTTGGATATGAAAAATGTTGCCATTAAGGGTGGCCTTCTCATGTCTAAAGTAACAGAATGTAATATTGACTTCTTAGAAAATTGGAGGTATGGCTGAGAATTTCATTTATGCTGGCTGCAAATTATTAACACTGTAATAATAGCAGGCCAGCATGTGGTACTGGTACCCATTAAAAAAGCAGTTGCTTTGACACTCTGACTGACTGACTAAGAAAATAGCATTACTCTTGAGAAATGGGAAGCAGCGGAGCCTTAGAATATCTCTTTAAATCAGTGACTAGTGTGGCAATTTCTTGTAATTTTTGGTTAAAATTAGTCACAGTTGATCCATTCCACCATGGTTAACAACACATATGGAAATTATCTAAAGGGAGAGCAATATAGGGTTGAAAGACTGCATCTTTTGTTAGGACTATATGGACAATATCCTCAACAAGTGTAAATTGACACAATTCCAGTGAAGTCACCAGCTAAAGATTTGGCCCTATTTTTTTTCTTATTTATACAGGACAAGATTCTATCACGCATACTGATGCTGAGTAGTGCCTTACTTGATGAGTAGTCCCATTGACATTTCAGTGGAATTACTCACTAAGATACTAGTCAGTATGAATAGGGTAGCAGAATCTCTCCTCTAATTTTTACAGAATAGTAAGCAAGTAGAGAAAAATAATTAAATGAATTAATGTATGTAAAGAAGCCTTGATTTAAAAGCAGTATAATACCACTGAGTAATGAACATATTTAAAATATAATTTATGATTTTGACCAATAATAAAAACTCTTTAATCTCAAAAATTAAAAAAGCATTTGCAGATTAAAAATAATGTGCATTTTACATTTACTTAAGTACAACTGTCTTATCTGACTTCGTTTGACCACTTTATTGTGAATGGTTATATTTGCAATCAAAATAATTAAATAGAGAGTCTGAATGTCTATCTCCATTAATGAAGAGGAAGAGAAGAGGGGGTGGGGAGTATAGCTGGAAAATATTTAACAAACCAGGAATGATTCATCATCAACTGATGGATGAATGTAAACATGGGGGGAAATTTGCAAAAGAAAAAATTAAGTTAAATGAATATTACATAGGTACATTGAGATGACTGTGAGAATACACTGTCCCTAAAAGCTGGAACAACCTATGGGAAATAATCAAGAAACAATAGAGGTTTCTGTTCATAAACAGTTTTGTTTTAGGGCCTGATCCTGAGAAATGCTGAGCAGCCCCAATTCCCATTGGATGATCTTTGATTGCATTACAGACATGGTTGGACAAGACATTACTACAATACAATTATAAAAGGATACATTTCTAGATAAGGAAGCTCAGCTGAGGGCAAAGTAATTTGTAAAAACAAATATACACAAGTACTGAAATTCACATAGGTGGCATATAAAGAAATAACACTTTCACAGGTTAAAATGAAGGATGCATAAATCATGAGGGATTTAGTATGTAGGCATGTAATATGCTACTTAATCTGAGATTAGGAAAAAAGTATTACTTACGGATCTGATACTAAGTGTGTGAAAAATAATTAAAAGAGGTATTTTAATTACATACAAGAAACTTAACAAGTTTTTTCCAGTAGGATACAAGAGGATAGTCTCTTATGGTATTTCAATAACTGAAAGAAGCAATGAGGCCCAATGAAATCCTGGGTCTGATACTGACTAACAAAGAGAAAATGGTAACAGCTCTGAAAAAAAGGAGGGAATTTTGGAGGTTATGATCAAAAGCTTACAATATTTCTGGTGCAAGTGATGAGATACAGAAATGGGTAACCATATTAGGAAATGAGGTAGAAGGAAGATGGGAGAGTTTAAAAAAAAAGTGGAAACTATGGTTTTACAATAACACTGCAACAAAATATGAAGATTTTTTTTAAGACATGGCTGAAAGGATGGTTGGCGAAAGAAGTGAAATTAGTTAAATAAAAAAAATTATGAGAAATGGAAAAGAACAGAGATTGAAATTATTACATTTAATCTTACCATCATATAAATGCAGATATAAAATAAAGAGGGAAAAAACCAAAAAGCCAAAACCAAGAACAAAATGATGCTGGCTCGGGAAGCCCAGTGATATAAGAAAAGTTTTTTAAAAAATATATTCAAAATATAGACATATTTTTAAAAAGGAACTGCTAGAAAACAGAAAGAAGCAAGTAAGAGTTCCACAGATAACCCAGAATTTTAGTTTTTCCTTTGTTTGCAGTAGGGTATACTGACTAAAAGAAAATCTGAGCTTTTTGTCCAGGAAATTGGGAATTTATTAGAGAATATAGCTGGAGAGGCCATAAACAAAAGGGTAATCAGAGAAAAATATAGAAAAGCATCTGAAAAATTAAGGTCCAGATTCCCTGATCCTGTTCTAACCATTTTGCGCCATGCATGCACCACAAAGTGGCCAGAATCTGACTAACTAGCCAGTTGAGAATTCTCCTGCTACAGAGCAGTTGCCCCCACAGCCCTGCATAAGGGGTATGTTCAGGACATGACACAGTGTTCCTGCATTCCAGCAGTTTTCAGCTGCATATGGTTCCTTAGGGACCATAGCCAACTGGCATAAATTAAAGCAGTCCATAGGCCGCACATGGCATATTTGACCATGGTCTGATATTAAAGTGCTAGTGGCAAAACATCAATATAAAAAATGACCTCATCC